AACAGTAGATGGACACAAAGTGGCTCCAGTAACGTTCAGTCCAAGATCAACCCAAAACGAGAACCGCTCAAAAATGAAGAAGAAAGTAGAAGAGGCGAATGAATATTTCCCTCCACGCAAAACGAAAAGAAAAATACGAAAGGACAGCGTAAAACGAGCGAAGCAACTGACTAAAATAAAGGTAAAGATGGACCTGGCAGCAGCAAAGATTCGGTGAAATCGATATATGATGAACCAAATATCTTTGTCGGACCAGGAAATGTTTTACAGTTCCCAGGATCTATAGCGCACTGTGTCTCAAGTGACTTTCACATGAACAAAGGAGTAGCACGACAAATCAGCAGTGCCTATCCATGCATGAGACCAGGCCTACAAAGCATTGAAACACCAATAGTTGGATCATCAGTTGCAGTTTCTTTGCCTCGGGAAAACAAATCGATTTTCAATTTAGTCACTAAACCACAATTTTTTGATAAACCAACCTACTACGATTTGTCACGAAGCCTCAACTGTATGGAGCAACAGCTCTTGCAGAAAGCAATAAATGCGATAGCCTTGCCAAAACTCGGATGTGGTCTCGACAAATTGAAAGAAAGTAGAATTTTCAGCCTAATTTACGACATTTTCGAAAAAACGAACATCAAAATTTTCATTTACATATGAAATATGTCACGATATTGCGCCCTACCGTTCATGCATTCACTATAACCCTTTCTAGCTCCAACAGCAACCAGCTGATGTTACAAAAATCAAAAAAGACGATGTCAAGTTGAAAAAAAAAGAGAAAAATTCGAGAAAAGTCTTCTTTCAAATTCGAGATTTCCGCAAAAACAGACGTCCAAGACACCATATGCGTGGTACAACAATTTCATACTCCTGGATCATCCTTATAGCCCTACCGGGACACAGACACAAAGTGGGTCCACTAGGAGGCAACATCTTCATGAAGATCTCGAAAAATCCACCTGTTGCCCACGTATTAACATTAGGAATAAAAAACTTTTAGTGCCCCCACCAATGTTGTGAGTGGATTTTGAAAACTCTGACGCCATTCATCACCAGTGCCCAAATGAGGAACCTGCACGAAGTGGGTTCACTAGGAGGCAACAACATCGTGAAGATCTCAAAAAATCCACCTGTTGCCCATGTTTAAGCATTAGGAATAAAAAACTTTTGCTCCCCCCAAAAAACGAGAAGAAGAAACAGTATTTTTTTTGAGCCCAGTGACCACCAAAAGGCCAACGAGGAAAGCGTATGAAGTCAGCTCACTAGCAGATCAAAATTGGGAAAGATACATCATTTTCCGAAATTCCTATGTAATAAGATAGGCAAAAACGAGAAAAAAAAATCGATGGAGTTATTCGCTAAAAATCCGAACTCAAAAGCTATGATTACGCCGGAAATCATCCACCGCATCCGTTGGGACAACCCTGACAGGCTGTCAGACACACTGAACAATTTCCTCGAGTCTTAAAAGATACGACCAGACCAAAAATCTTCGATAACTTTGAAGAAAAGGGGAATCCATCCTTTATCATTCTGTCTGACGCTAAATTTTGCTCAGTCGAACCAGCAAAGTACTGGAACAGCCAATATGAGTGAAGTGCAGTGACAGCAGAAGAAAAAAATTGAAAACAAAAAGACAGATTCTGTATTATGAGACGATGGTGGCTAAAAAGCAAAAATCATCGTTAAAAAATTGAATTCTGTCTTCACACAAAAAGAAGTGTATCATTGACTTTCGGGGTGTCAGGCCACCAGAGGCACACAATACCCAAAAGAAGAAGATAAGAATACTTCTTAACAATCAGATGATGTCTGAAACCCACAGTGGCAACTTTTAAGCACGCAAAACAAAGTACAAATTGCTTTATAAGCTGTCAACTTCAAAAAAAAATCGGGAATTTTTCGACAAAACAGAGTACTGTTACGTGGTTGGATACAAAACCACAATGACCGCGACTAATAGAAGGATCAAAAAGCCCAGATCAAAGTGAACAATAAACTTAGGCATAATGGAGCAAAATGAATGACATGCACCAAACAATGAACGAAGTCAGCGATACGAAAATTTGAAACGAAACGACAAACAGCAATAGTCTGCTACATGACACTACAGTACTTGCCGTGCAAATTTAGTTACAGTTGATAACTGAAGTTATCACGCTATCATCGAATTGACCCTATCACCTATCACTTAACTCACTTAACCCGACTCAATGTGGCTTTCTGTCCGCTTTAAAATATTTCCCATTTAACATTAATACAATTTTATTTCACATTACGTAATTCGAAGTAATAACCTGTACCTCCAACTCATTGAAGGTTAATTAATTCTTGCCATAACCTGATGGATAGAAAACCAATTTGCCTGTAGCAGTTTGTATTCTGTCAATTTGATTGGAAATTTTTGAACTCAATTATTTTAACTGTAAACAGTCAAAAACTCAAAACCACCCGTGAAGATTTCTTCTTGTGAGGTAGTGTGACATCACTGCGTGATGTCATGCATTCTTATGCTATAATAGATTACATAATTAACCTTGTTAATGAAATGAAGTTCATACATTTATACTTATTTAACTATGTAAATATTGATGGTAATTGGTACCAATCAGAAGAGATTCATACCGAGCTACTAATCAATTGGGTAGACCTGAACAGAATAAAATATTGCAATTATGCTCTAACTTGCGCCGATCGACTAGCGATATTCCAGAAGTTAAGAACCGAATCCTGCGTCCCTAAAAGCAAGATAAGTCTTAGCCGCTCGAGACATATAAATTATGAATACAATTCAATAATAATTGATAGCCAGTAGCGCTAATTACTATCCGAACAGCTAACAACACTATCAATAAACGACGATATAGCTGTCCACGGCCATCCGAAGGGACACTATATCACACTTACTGAACTACGCTTGAAGAAACAATTAGCAGACCGTCAACACTGTTCACAGCGTCCTTCTTGCTGACCCAAATAACTCGGTCTTAACAGCTAAAAGCAACCGATGGCTATTATCCTACCACCAAGGACGCTTCAAATAAGTTGAATTTAGAGACGCATGGGAAATCTGGCATGAGAAAAAATGAACAAGGTATTCCACAAGGTGGTGCTCTCTCACCCACTCTTGCCACCACGAGAAAATAATAATCATAAATAAATCAAATGAATTCACTTATGCTGATGACAACAATCCTAACTTTCGGTCCACGCCCAAATGAAATTCACACTTCAATGAACTATGACTTCACTCACCTAAAAGTAAGGCAGAAAACAGGCATCTATATCTATCCCATGAAGACAAATTTATGGCAAATCTTTAGCTCTTGGTCTGCCAAGTAAATTAAGACACAGAGACGAAGTTGCACTTCGCATACACAAGCACAAATATGACCAAAAACGCCACTGTGAAAATCTGAATGAGTAAAACTTTGAGTGTACCAAATTTCTTAACTGATGCAAGCCAATTAATAGTCCACATAATTGCTAAATGACGCAAGCCAATTATGACGCATTAGCAGTTTCAGTCAATTTAAAAAAAATACCAACTAACAAGCCTCAATTTATTGAGCGGACGCATTTCAACTAGTATACAAAAAATTTTAATAAATTATTCGACAGTGCCCATGTTTGAACTCTTTTTTTTGTTGCAGGTCTCCTTCCCTACCTCTACGCTACAGATCCATGATACCTTGAAGCCAAAGTGCTATTTTTAATATAATAATCTGTGTTAATAGCCTTAGCATTGGCAGTACTTATTAGCTGCGTATTGATCAAAATGAACAGTTTCAAAATGAACACATTTTGTCGCAAAAAAAATTGCGAATTAGGTTGGAAAAAAAGATAGTTCATACTATGAAACAGGCTTTGCTTGTGTAAAAATCAAATCGATATTGGAGGTAATCGAATAAAAATCGAAAAACCTAAAAGTCCTGGGTGTTACTGATGATTACATGTTCACATTTGGAACTAGTGCACACAATATTTGAACAATCGTTCAGGCTAGAAAAACATCCTCAAATAACTTGAGGATGTAAGGAAAAACTAGCCGTCAGCCATAAAGGAATCATTCGGAGCGTGATGAATTATGCCGCGCCCATCTGGTCTCTAAAATTCAGCAACATCAAATGGTGAAAACTTCTAGTATAAACAAAAAAAAAATGTTCTTAGAGCTATAAGTGTCCAGGCAGACCGACAAATTTCAATACCCTCTGACGCCCTTCGTTTAGCTGAACACATTTAGCTCACACAGCACACACACAACACACAGGGCAATAACGTTGGACTAGGCATGAGACGAAACCACTAAATACGTACCCAATGTCGTCAACAGTTAACGAAGCTGCAACATCAAAAAAGCAGCAAAGAAAGGCAGAAACTTGCGAGCATAGTAATGTTTGTATTTGATGCCTGACAAAATTTAAAAATCAATCGTTTTCCTATTGCAGCCTTTTTTTTCACTATACTACTGACAAGCCATTTAAATGAAGAAAAAATCTCACGCCGAGGATGAGGCTTTTGCTTTTGTGGACAGGAAGTAGAACGCTTCCATTTATGATAAATTTGGTACAACTAAAGCATAATTTTTGAAGTTGGAATTTTAACGCCGCTGCAAAATCTGAAAATAATTAGGTCACTTTTGAAACGCAATTTCTTTCACTTGAACTTTGGTAATTGTTGATCGATATTTGCTGTCTTTCTATCGCATGTATTTCAAGGGAACTAGAAAATATATTAACCGGCATTTTCCTTTCGCTCATTATTACTAAAAACGATGGTAAGTTAGTAACCTGTGCATAATATTTGAACTCATATTGTGAAACTTTTCACACACACACAAGGCCTCAACTCAGAGGAGTAGTGTGTGATATACACTATAATTTAGCATCTTTAACGAAAGTCAGCAGATACGAAGACCTCAGAGAAAATGCAGTCTCTAACAAATATCATATTTTCATCAAGGAATAAGAATGGCATAAGCTAAAAGTACTTACCTTCGAGTAGGCACCACTCTCCATCAATTTTCTTGTGTCCTGTAAACGAGTCCTCAATTGTTGGATCATAATCATCCATAAAACACTTTTGAAAATACTGAATTGTTAGTGCGGACTTTCCAACCGCACCAAAACCAACAACAACAATTTGGTGCTTCACCATCAAGTCAGACTCAAACATTTAATTCTAAAAATCACACGACAGTAGTATAGTAAAAGTGGCTAGGAAAATGACCACTTTTAAACCCCCCCATTTTTCGGTGTGCCGTTGTACTTAACACTTTTAACCCCCAAAGGGGTTAAAGCCGCTACTTTTTCGGGTACGCGTGTTTTAAGGGGGTTAAAATTGATAATTTTCCAGCCACTTAATGGAAACGGGAATGGAATTAAGTTTTGGTTGGTGCATGTTTTCCCTTCTAAAGTTTGGGGGTATTGGCTTGTTTACATGTAAAATGACGTTACATACCTATTATGGTGCATACCCACGGAGCCGCATTCCCGGATAGCCGAAAAAACTAAATACCTCCGGTTTTATTTAAATTAAATCAGAAAATTTTGAGACGCATTCTGATTGGACAAAAAGCGCAGCCTGTTATAGCTAACAAAATTCTTAAGAACATTTTGTTAGCTATTCGAACATTTTTAAGAGATTTGATTGGGTAATACTTTTGCTCTCAATGAATTAATTAATAGCAAAAGTCCGACTACTACAGGGATTTGACTGCCTCAACAACCAAAGGGTCCCTCTTTGGTATGTTTTATGATATCCATTTTCGGACGACAAACTCTAAAATTTTTCAGTATATGCTAATTTTAAAGGGGAGCACGCGCTGAAAAACGGTATTTTTTGGTCAAAATTTTTTCAAAAAATCCCGAAACGGGGGGGCATGGTGGGGGTAAATGTGGGTGGTCAGAGGAAGTAATTGGGAGGGGGAATGGAATGGGAAGAAAGAATGATCGGACTAAGTGTGTGTGTGGGGGGATGGGTAGAGAAAGGGTACCTAAACAAAGGGTAGAGAAAGGGTAATGAAAACAAGGTTTTTAAGTAAGTTTAAAGAATCTCTTTCACCCCTATGGTACCTAGTAACGAATCTCCCCCCCCCCCCCCTCCCCAATTAAGAAATGGGTAAGGGGGCAGAAGGGAGGTAATTGCTAAGTAGACCCAAAATTTCAGGTATCCGGGAGCGAATTTATTTTTCGGCTATCCGGGAACAAATTTATTTTTCGGCTATCCGGGTATTCGGCTCCGTGACACGCCACCCCTATTATATGCAACCAAACTATATGGTATATAGGAAAGAACAAGATTTTGGCAGCGTAGCTTAACTGTTGGCTGCGGTGAACGATTTCCTTCAAAAATGCATGTTTTATTGCTGAATCTCGAAGAAAGGAAAATTCGTCAAGTGCGACGGCCGCCAGCTCTATTTAGGCAAAAATAATGATCAATGTGACATTCGACCAGAATGTGAAAAATGCAATCTCTGCAGAATTCGAATTTTTAGCAGCGAGCCTTCCGGATTGGTGATTATTAAGAATTAAGAACGTTATTGGAACGATTGGCCAAACGGTGAGGGCTAGAATATTCTGGTATTTTGAAATTTTAAAAAATCGAATTATGAGGTCATATTTCTGAGAAACGTCAGAAACGGCCATTTTGGCTAAAACAAGAAAGAAAAACAGAACAACATTAGTTGCGCGGACGATAAGTACGAAAATTGTGAGAAAAAACAATAGCCGATTGCAGAAATAGCAGTGAACATTCCGAGTTGCAACTATTGTGTCGCTACAATAGTTGCAAGGCCGTTGCAGACAACGGTGAAGGGTGGAGGACAGTCTTCCGGATTAAGAAGAAGTCAAGATTAGCGAGCTTGGTTCAGTGGATTCAAGAATCCGGAAGGGTTTCGGGACTGAAACTTTTAGCCTGTTATATAAACTTTTAGCTTCTTGTCATGTCCTGATTTGAATTTAATTAACATCTAGATTCATTTTGATAAGGATGAGAAGCTAGGAGTTGGGGGAAAGGGTTGATCCATCTTCGATGGAGATGATGATTTTTACCTACTGAACAAAAAACAGTAGTAATATAATAAACAGTAGTAGCCCTGTTTTTAGGAGTGACCTCGTGGTCTGGGGATAGTGAGACCCAGCCATGACCTCACTATTTCTGCATGTAATCTAGTTAATTTGAGTGTTTTGACCGAAGCCGAAAGCAGTAGCGTTTTTGTCGACCCGATGTTAGAAAAGACCACCGAAAAGTACTGGCTTGGTAGAGATGGTGAAAAGCATGCAAAGCTCTGTTTAGACGTGAGCCAGTCGTCTTAAGACTTAGTTTTGTCTTCCGTCGATATGTATCTTCCGGGCGAATGTTACATAGATGTTTTTATGGCGTTCCTGGGTGTTATTCTTTTTTAACATCATGACCGGCAGAACCGTTAACGAGCACTCCGCGCCGAGCGGATGCTCACATTAACGCCCTTAATAGGCCTAAACCGCCGGGGCGGAAGGGTGGTTCGGAACGCGGAAGCCTTCCGGATTACCGTGAATAGCTTTTTAACTTAGTTAAGACCGAAAATTCACGAACCAGGAAGGGTGGGGGGATTCGCGGTCCCGTCATCTCCTGAATGGTTTGTGACCAAAAACGCTTAAAGATATCATAATACATAAAGTAGTATAGTACCCAAGAAAAACAAAAAAAAAACCTAAAAAAATAACCGAAAAAACCAAAAACAGTAAAAAAGTAAAAAATCAGTAGAAATCTCCCCTGTGCTTTCTTTGCATCCATCTGAACTCCCCGGACAAAACCTTGTTCTCTAGGTTTTGTTTCTCGTCAGGAATTTTTTCGTCTATCTCAGACACCCGGGACAAGAGAATTTGTCCGAGGAGTCTGAGATAGACGAAAAAATTCCTGACGAGAAACAGGACCTAGAGAACAAGGTTTTGTCCGGGGAGTTCAGATGGATGCAAAGAAAGCACAGACATGATCTGGAGGAGCGTGCAGTCTCCAGCAAAACCTCTTCGACGGATGATAATTCAGGAAGCTCAGGAATGGACACCTATTCAGACAGGAATTCGAGCTCGGGATCAGAACTGTCAGAACTAGCGATACACACGCTACTAGTGGAAACTCGGGCAAGGGACCTAGACAGAGAGATGTACCAGGATCCTGACAGTAATCGCTATCTCATACCAAACGAAAGGATCTTTGACAACGCAACAGATGATTTGGAAACAATAGCAGTGTCGAAGCGGTCGATGAGTGTGTTGCCGCAGAAAGAGGTAGTCAGGACTCATCTACAACCGTTTCATCAAGAAACACAGCCGTTGGCGAAGATTTGGTGCGTAAAGATGGAGGAGGACACACACCAGCCCAATGAGATGAATTGTCAAATGAGGGTCATGAAGACATATTTGAAGGCGAGATACAGACTCTCGGACCTACTAAGGGCGCAAAGAAATGATCGCATGACAAGTAACCGAAAAAGGTGGATAGAAAATGGTGCACCAGACAAAGGTGACCTAGAAGAAGATAGTTATAGGATCCTAAGACAATACTTCATGCAGAAGGAGGGGAGATTATATCTGAACAAGGACGGGATCGTGGCATGCAAGAGAAGAGAAGAAGACAAGGTCTTATACAAGTATAACGCGATAGTGTTGCCGCAACTCTATCAGACAGAACTATTATTCAGGTCGCATGATCAGATGGGCCATCAAGGGATCGACAAAGTGTATCAGAGGATCCTGAAGCGCTTTGAGTGGCCTGGAATGAAAAAGGCATGTGAGAAATGGGTAACAGCGTGCCTGACATGCCAACATGTCAAGGATCCAAGGAAATTGCGATTTCCTTTACAATCGATTGAGTCGTCTGAATTCAACGAGGTGGTGCAGATAGATCACCAGAAGATATGGATGACAGACAGCGGTTATAACCAGGTCTTGGTCATGATAGATCACTTCACGAAGTATGCAGAGGCCGTGCCCTGCATAACTGCCTCGGCGGAAGAAACATGCGACCACCTGATCAACACGTGGATAGCAAGACATGGTTGTCCAATGACGTTTCAATCGGACAACGGAACAGCTTTGGTAGGCGAGCTTACAAAAGAGCTTATGAGACGGTCACAGGTCGCTCAGGCTCACTCCACGACATACCACCCTCAGACGAATGGCTTAGTGGAAAGACAGAATAGGACGTTAGTGTCGATGCTAAGATTATATTGTTCCAGGTATATGACCGATTGGGACAGATATCTTCCACAGGTGATGGGAGCATATAATAGCACGCAACACTCCACCACTGGAGTCAGTCCACACATGATGCTAACTGGACACGAAAAGTCTTTACCCTTAACCTTCTTCTCCCAGAATATGAGGGAAAGAAAACGTCCCCACAGGTCTACGTGAGGGATGTGATCAGACGCGAACAGGAGTTGAACGATTTGTGTAGACGAAACACTCAGCAGGCATAGGCAAGGCAGAGGAAAAACTTCGACAAGAAAGCAGCTGGTGCAAAGGCTTACTCGGTGGGAGACTACGTATGGGTATTTCAGAACGTTATACCACCGAAAGGGACCAAGAAGCTCCTAAAAAGGAGGGACTCTTGATGATTACAGAGGTGCACCAGGAGGGACGCTTTTATAGACTGAGTACTGGCCGAGCCGCCCACTACGAGAACAACAAGCCACACAATCCATCGACAGAAGACTGGTGTATACCTGCAGACATGGAAGAAGGGGATTATCTGATGATGAATCCTGCTTGTGAGGTCAATGAAAAAGGCACCAGGGAGAAGAACGATGGAAACGAAGTCGTAGAGGAAGGTACGGATACACCGCTGGACCTGGATCCAAACGAACAGATCGAAGCGGACGATGAAACCTTACCCTACGCAGAGGAAGATTGGCAGGATCCCGAACAGATAGAGGTTCCCAAGAACTTGGAACCGGAGCTTCCGTTCACCATACAGACTCGTCAGAAGGATGGGATGAGATCAAGAAAGAAATACAATCCTTATGGTGACGACTTTGTAGTGGATAGGATAGATCTAAAGAAGATAGTGGAGGAAGTAGTGGGTCTAGAGGAAATAACTGTGTCACAAGACATTGACATAGTCGATGATCACGACGATGAGTGGGTTGACGACTGGTCGAAACCCGACGTAGAATTCGACGACGAGCAACA